TATGGTAGAGTTATAATTGAAAGAATTAAGAGTAAGACGGAGAATAGGATAGCAATGAACAAGGAGGTTTTAGGAAAGGTAGGGGGTGTGTGGACCAGGTGTTTACAGTGAAACATATAAGTGAACAGTATTTAGTAAGGCTAAAGGGGTCTTTGTGGCATTTATGGATTTGGAAAAGGCGTATGACAGGTGGATGGGGGGGCAATGTGGCAGATGTTGCAAGTGTATGGTGTAGGAGGTAGTTTACTGAAAGCAGTGAAGAGTTTTTACGAGGAAAGTGAGGCTCAAGTTAGATTAGTAGGAAAGAGGGAAATTTTTTCCCAGTAAAAGTAGGCCTTAGACAAGGATGTGTGATGTCACCGTGGTTGTTTAATATATTTAAGATGGGGTTGTAAGAGAAGTAAATGCGAGGGTCTTGGCAAGAGCATGGAGTTAAAAGATAAAGAATCACACACAAAGTGGGAGTTGTCCAGCTGCTCTTTGCTGATGACACTGTGCTCTTGGGAGATTCTGAAAGAAAATTGCAGAGATTGGGGGATGAATTTGGTAGGGTGTGCAAAAGAAGAAAATTAAAGGTGAATACAGGAAAGAGTAAGGTTATGAGGATAACAAAAAGATTTGGTGATGAAAGATTGAATATCAGATTGGAGGGAGAGAGTATGGAGGAGGTGAACGTATTCAGATATTTGGGAGTGGACGGTCAGCGGATGGGGTCTATGAAAAATGAGGTGAATCATAGAATTGATGAGGAAAAAGAGTGAGTGGTGCACTTAGGAGTCTGTGGAGACAAAGAACTTTGTCCTTGGGGCAAAGAGGGAAATGAGGTATTTTTTTTCCCAACGCTCTTATAGGGGGGTGTGAAGCAGGGGTGAGAATGTTGCACGAGGAGAAGCGGGGAGGCGGGGAGATGTCATGTCTTAGGGCAATGTGTGGTGGAATTAATGCAGAGAATTTCGAGTTTGGAATTTGGGAGGAGGTGCGGGTTCCAAAAACTGTTGTCCAGAGGGCTGGAAGGGTTGTTGAGGGGGTTTTCGGACATGTAGAGAAAATGGAGCGAAACAAATACTTAAAGGTGTATCATTTTGGAAGGAAGGCGGGGTGGGGGTGGCCCTAAAAGGGGTTTGGAGGAGGGGTAAAGGAGTTTTTTGGCGGGGGGTTTGGGACTTCCACAGGCATGCGGAGCGTTTTTTGATAGGGGGAATGGAGAAAAAAGGTTTTTAATACTTGACGTGCTGTTGGAGTGTGAGCAAATAACTTTTATAAAGGGATTCAGGGAAACCCGGCGGGCCGGACTTGAGTCCTGGAGATGGGAAGTACAGTGCCTGCACTCTGAAGGAGGGGTGTTAATGTTGCAGTTTAAAAACTGTAGTGTAAAGCCCCCTTTCGGCAAGACATGATGGAGTAAAAATTTGGTAAAAATTTTTTTTTTTTTCGGGCCACCCTGCCTTGGGGGGTCGGCCGGTGTGATAATAATAATAAAAAATTTATTAAGTGCTTTTGTAAATGTATTTTTGGGGGTCTGAATCGGATTAATGTAATTTACTTTATTCCTTATGGGAAACAAATTCGTTTGGTAACGGCACTCAAACACCCTTCGGGAACAAATTTAAATTCGTACCCCAAGGGTACCAGGGGTATACAACTTCCCGTGGAAGGTTAGAGAGTTTTTATAAATGTGGCGTAAAAGGCACCCCAACAGGGAAGAAACAGATGAAAACAAAAAATCTTGTGTCATGCTAAAACCCCTTTTTATGTTTTTAAGTACATCAAAATTTGTTCAAATGGAGAATTCTTTTTGGAAATGTTTTGTTTTTTTTCTCAAATTTAATGTTATTTTTCTTTAAATTTTTTTTTATTTATCCATTTTTTATTCATTTTTTTTTATTTTTGATCATTTATATTTTTTCTGTTTTTTTTACATTTTTCGTGTTTTTCTTATTTACGTGAAAAGTAAATGCAGGTGGTAAAGGTGACGGGAAAATTAGGTAAACAGGGTTTTACCCAAAAGGGGAGGGTAGCTCCAAAACTTTGGGTCAAAGCCCTCCCCTGGGGTTGAGCACTGGGACTCCTTGCAAGGAGTGTCATAAAAGTATAACTCACCTGGTAACTCACATATGCAATTGAGTGGGAAATCGTCCTCTTGTGTCTAAATTTCACGTGAGTCCCCATCCACAATAGGCATTGTCTTCCCCGGGATGATTTCCTGAACTAGGAATACCCTCAGGAGAAAATACCACCGGGCCAGGGGTTCAAAAGGGCCCCAGTCCCAAACATGTGCACAAAAGAATTGACCTTTAACCTCAGCTTCAACAGGGCCACAGTTGATCATGTGAAGCTAGAAGAACTGACCTTTAACCTCAAAACAGATTAAGTCATTTAGAAAACCCACAAGTCCTTCAGCCCAGAGTAGACCCCAGGTTGGGGGACCGATTACCTCAAACTCCTCCTCATCTACCACCATTCACGTCTGTACCGGTGTTACGAACATAGCCTGATGGCCCTCGGGTGTTAGTGCTTTTCGTAACAAATGAACGGGATAATCATGTCCAGGGGGCATCACTCATAGAAGAAAAAGGCATTATCACAGTTCTTGGTTAATTTAGTAATTACCTTAATAACCACTTATATTTAATGACTTAAATTATTTAATACATTACAACTTTCTCATATCAACATTATGAGTTTGACATGTGTCACACATCTCATTATCACCTCACTGTAATAAACTTAGTAGTTACAAAGGCTCTCTGTGAGTCAGGAAATACGGGTATGTACAAACACTGGCGTTCTTTAAAAACTCAAACACACTACTGTTAGAGATATTCCACTGAGTTCAGTCTCCGATAATTCCTCTTATAGCACTGAGACTTGCTCACTTATTCTTAGTTTCTTTATGAGACTCTCAACCGCCTTCTCCGACCGAAATAAACTCTTTCCACAAAAGTCTTGGTAGCTTCAAGGGAGGTGAATGGTGGTTTTTAGCTGGATACTTCCCAAGACCCTTCCTGGTCCAGAGGAAAATAGGAACTGAATAAGGTGAGGCTTTACCAGCCAACTTTGACTCGGTCGGAGCCGGGGTTGAGCGGCTCAAAACGCCTACTGGTGCTTAGCCAGGTCGCACCAGCAGTTAGACTAATTAAACAACCTACCTATGTACAAAGCTAAATAATATACAGGCAGATAATACAGTGGACCCCCGGTATTTGATGGCATCGGGATTCGATAAATCCGGTATTCGATGCATTATATCACAAAAAATTTTCCTCGGTATTCGATTGAAAACCCGGTATTCGATACGATTCGTACGAGACCTGTCCACATGTGGCCTGAACTGCCCCTTGTGTGCCAGTGTTTACAAGCCAGCCAGTGTGCGCGCATCTAAGGATACATTCAGTACATTCCATATTATCCATATTATCACTGTGTTTGGTGCTTGTTTCTGCAAAATAAGTCACCATGGGCCCCAAGAAAGCTTCTGTGCCAACCCTGTGGTTAAAAAGGGTGAGAATTAGTATGGAAATTAAGAAAGATTTTGAAGGGTTTGGGGCTAACCCTGAGAAGCCTATACCAGTTGTGGAATACATTGTGCCTACATCAAAAATTAAGGAAATGTGTGCACAGTGGGTTGAAGTGCAAACCTTTATGGATGAAAATCACCCTAACACAGCTATTACAATGACAATGTTGTGGCTCATTTTAGACAAATCGTAAAGGAACGGGAGGTACAGAGCTCTATGGACAGATTTGTTGTGCGACAGAGGTCCAGTGACTCTCAAGCTGGTCCTAGTGGCATTAAAAGAAGAAGGGAAGCAACCCTGGAAAAGGACTTGCTACCTCACGTCCTAATGGAAGGGGATTCCCCTTCTAAACACTAACACCTCTCCCTTCCTCCCATCCCATCTATCATCACCAGATCTTCATTAAAGGTAAGTGTCAATTGTTTTATTGTTATTGTAATTATTCTATTGCATTAAACTTAATATTTCATGTAGTAAATTTTTTTTTTCATACTTTTGGGTGTCTTGCACGGATTAATTTGATTTTCATTATTTCTTATGAGGAAAATTGATTCGGTTTTCGACATTATCGGTATTCGATGAGCTCTCAGGAACGGATTAATATCGAATACCGGGGGTCCACTGTATTATAAAGTCGAGTAAATCCATTTTAGCTACTAATGGAATTACTCCTGAATATAATATTAAGTGAAATAGCAAAATTAACATGTAAAAATGTCGTTGACAAAACAAGTGGAAATTTCCTCCTTAAAATGAAGAGAGATTGTAACAACTGAACTGAGGAAATTACTTGTTAGTGAAATGTCACCACAACAAAGGTCCCTAAATGTTACAAAAGTGTCTAATTCTCCAAACTGTCAGTTTTTTATATTATGTGCATCATGTAAGTGCATTGTTCCAGCCATATTATTGTTACTATTATTCTTTAAGCAGGAACACTGACATGGAGAATTTATCAATGATCAATATACTACCTCATACAAACATTGTTCCAGCCACACACAATATTTATCAATGATCGGTACAGTGTCTCCTCACTTAGCGACGTACTCATTTACCAATGACTCGGACTTACAACGGTCTCTCTGACCAGTGTTCATACCTAAATAATATTAGAGTTGATTTCCTCTATTCTGTTTATTACAATATACAGTACACTACTGTATAAATATTTAAAAATACACCAGAAATGTTATTAATGGTACAAAGGTGACATTAAAACAATATCAAAGATGGTTGACACAAACCCACTACCATTATAGTATGTTCCTCACTTAGTGACGAATTTGTTTACCAATGTCGTCTTAGGAACGGAACTCCATCCTTAAGTGAGGAGAGGCTGTATTATTATTATTATTATTATTATTATTATTATTATTATTATTATTATTATTATAATTATTATTATTATTATTATTATTAATTATCATACACAATACAGGTCCCCAACGTGTTTGTAAGTTGAAGATTTCTTGTAAATACTAAAAGAAGACAGTGTTAGACCCTAAGCGTCACTCTCACCTGCTCACCAGTGTGGAGATCCCACAATCGAATGGTCGAGTCCAGAGAGGAAGAGGCTGCTATGGTCCCGGCAGCATTAACGTCGACCGATATAACACCCAGTGAGTGACCCTCGAGGGTGTGTAGGGGTGTCAGTTCGCCCTCGACGCCATCCCCCGACCACCGCCACACCCGGACTAGGTCATCCAGTCCCCCGGTGACGATGTACCTCTGTTCCCTAGGGCAGTTAAAATCTAGTTGAAACGACTTAATTTCAGGGAAAACGTGAGAGGTAATTAGCATTGATCGGAAGCAGGACAAGTAGCTTCAATGACCTGGATCAAGAGCCTTCACTAGAACATCAAGGAAACTCTCGTTGAAGGGTTCATAATCTTAAAAGTAATGTAATGGGTTATTCTTAAAAAATAATGTAACAGGTTCATAATATAACAGGTTCATAACGTAACAGGTTCATAACGTAACAGGTTCATAACGTAACAGGTTCATAACGTAACAGGTTCATAATGTAACAGGTTCATAATGTAACAGGTTCATAATGTAACAGGTTCATAATGTAACAGGAGGTACATAATGTAACAGGTTCATAATGTAACAGGTTCATAATGTAACAGGTTCATAATGTAACAGGTTCATAATGTAACAGGTTCATAATGTAACAGGTACATAATGTAACAGGTTCATAATGTAACAGGTTCATAATGTAACAGGTTCATAATGTAACAGGTTCATAATGTAACAGGTTCATAATGTAACAGGTTCATAACGTAACAGGTTCATAACGTAACAGGTTCATAACGTAACAGGTTCATAACGTAACAGGTTCATAATGTAACAGGTACATAATGTAACAGGTACATAATGTAACAGGTTCATAATGTAACAGGTTCATAATGTAACAGGTTCATAATGTAACAGGTTCATAATGTAACAGGTTCATAATGTAACAGGTTCATAACGTAACAGGTTCATAATGTAACAGGTTCATAATGTAACAGGTTCATAATGTAACAGGTTCATAATGTAACAGGTTCATAATGTAACAGGTTCATAATGTAACAGGTTGCCAGACGACTCACGTCTCTGGTAAGTTCTGATCGTTGTCGTCGCGTCGTTCTTGGTTCTCCTTGTCTTCTCCCTCGTTCTCCTTATCGACGTTCGCCGCTTCCTTGTTCTTTTCATCGGGGACAAAGTGGCCCCAGGCGCATGCCCAGATGCCCTCAGAGTGGGCATTTTCACGCTTCGTCAGCAGCGAAAACTGGAAAAAATGAAATGGCATTAATTTCGATGGCGAGTCAAATTTTGTGGGTAAAAACGACGGGAAAAAAAAAATTGGTAAATAATGGTTAATTTCGACGGCGAGTCAAATTTTGTGGGTAAAAATGACTGTAGAAACGACGGGAAAAAATAAATTGGTAAATTACGGTTAATTTCGACGGCGAGTCAAATTTCACGAAGTCGTAAAATAGAAAATTGTCGTAAAAATTCACCGACTGGACTTTTAAAGACCAAATTGTCCAATAGACATTAAAGATTGAATTACCTGATAGACTTTAAAGACCAAACTGTCCCGATAGATAAAAGAAAAATAGACATCACGATAGACATACTATCACACGGAGGGGGAAAATATCACGGAGAAGTGCTAAACCCGTAGGCCTCACACACCTCTGGGGGTAATGGGGGGGCGGAAAATCAAGTTTGATCCAAGGAAGAGTCAAGACAACTCCAGTTCCTCGGATCAGGAGCCTCCCATGGGTGGGGCTACCCCAAACAACCCACCCCTAATAAAAACCCATTTTTACGGACATACAAGACCTGATTTACCCCATTTACACCACCGGGGGGAGGGGTGAGCCCCTCCAACGCCTCGGATCAAACACTCCCCCCCAAGGGGTGGTAAATAAGGGGTAAAATAAGGTTAAATACGGACCCCCAGCCTCACCTACCATGATGTTGTTGTGGTGTTTAAGGGCGACGGCGACGTGAGTCGTATTGACTTATTTTACACACTTTTACACTCATTTTAACATTTACAGTAGTTATTGCTCCATTACTTGTTAATTTACACTTATTTACATTTTTTAAATATTTACACAGGTATTTTAGTTTATATTAAGCTAAGAAAATGAAGTCAATGATTTACACTTATTTTACACATTTCACACTTATTTTACAACTTTTAAAAAGGTTGTCTCTAAACTCAGAAAATTTACATTTTTTACGTTTTAATAATATTTACCTAGTTTTTTTGTTAATATTAAGGTATTTTTTGTTTCTACATTATGTACCATCCTGGGGGGCCCAGGACTGTCCCTCAACTTTACAGAGGTCAATGGGGTCCGGGGAACTGTACCTCAAAATTACAGAGGTAAAAAGGGGTCCGGGAAACTTACCTCAACATTACAAAGTACATAAGGGGGTCCAGGGACTGTACCTCAACATTACAAGGTACATAATGGGTTCCGGGGGACTTACCTCAAATTACAGAGGTACATAATGGCCCGGGGACTGCCCTCAATTACAGAGGTACTTTGGGTTCGGGAAAAATGTACCTCAACTTACAGGGGTACAAATGGTCCAGGAACTGTACCTCAAATTACGAGGTAATATGGTCCAGGAACTGACCCAACATACAGAGGACATAAGGGTCAGGAACTGTACCCAACATTACAGGGTACATAATGGGCCCGGATTGTCCCCACATTACAGATTTTACATAATGGTCCAGGAACTGTCCCTAACATTAAAAGGGGTACATAATGGTCCGGGAACTGTACCTAAAACATTACAGAGGTACAAAATGGGCCGGGAACGTACCTCAACTTTTCAGAGTAATAATGGGTAAAAGGAATGTACCTCAATATTAAAAAGGTACATAAGGGGTCCAAACGTATCAACTTTACGGGGACATAATGGGAAAAGGGAAACTTAAAACTTTACAAATTTACATAAGGCCCGGGAAACTGACCCCAACATTACAGGGTACTAATGGTTCCAAAAACTGTACCTCAACATTAAAAGGTAAAAATTTCCAGGAAACTGTACCTAAACTTTACAGAGTACAAATGGTCAGGACTGTCTAAACATTACGGGTAAAAAATGGTCCAGGAATTACCTAAACATTAAGAAAAAGGCAAATTAAAAATTGGGTAAAAAGGGGGATTTGTCCCTAATTTTTCGAGGTACATAATGGGTTAGGACTGTACCCCCCAACATTACAGAGGTCATAATGGTCCAGGAACTGTACCCAAAATTTACAGAGGTACATAAGGGCCCCAACTGTACCTAACATTCAAGGTCATAATGGCCCAGGAACTTCCCTAAAATTAAGAGGAAATAAGGGTCCAGGAACGGGCCTAAACTTACAGGGGTAAAATGGTCCGGGAACGTACCTCAACATACAGGGGACTAAATTGGGTTCCCAAAAAAGGACAAAGGGGCCCAAAACCCAACATTACAGAGGTACATAAGGGTCCAGGAACTGTCCCTAACATTACGAGGACATAATGGTCCGGGGACTGTCCCTCAACTTACAAGGTACTAATGGTCCGGGAACTGTATTCAACATACAAGGACATAATGGTCCAACTGCCCTCAACATTCAGAGGTAGATAATGGGCCCGGAACTGTCCTCAACATTACAGAGGTCAAAGGGCCCTAACTGTACCTCAAAAAAAAGGGAAATAAGGGCCCGGAAAAATTTTACCTCAACATTTAAAGGTACAATGGTCCGGAAACTGACCTCAAAATTACAGGGTCAAAATGGGCCCCAACTGTACCTCAAATTAAGGGACATAAGGGGTCCAGGAACTGTACTAACATTACTATACCCCGGGTAACCCTCTTTACCCAGGTTACCCCTGGTATAACTAGTATACTCCGGTTATGGCATACCCCAGGTATACCCCAGATATACCCCTGGTTTCCCCCAGATATCCCCCAGGTTCCCCCAGATTAAAATGGATACCCAGGTATCCCAGATTACCCGGGTATATCCCAGGTATACCTGGGATCCCATATACCCCGGTATCCCCCCGGATCCCCTCGGGTTTCCCCCCGATATACCCGGGTTATCCGATATACCCTGGTTTTCCCCAATTCCCCCTGGTATACCCGGGAAACCCCCAGATATCCCCAGAATCCCCTGGTATCCCCCCAGGTTCCCCCCGGTATACCCCAGTATCCCCCAGGTTTTTCCCCCCAGGATCCCCCAATTTTCCTGGTATACCCCGGTTTTAAACCCCGGGTATAGACCAGATAACCCCAGATTACCGCGGTATACCCCATTCCCCGGGGATACCCCGGGTATACCCCGGTATACTCCGATATACCCTGGTATACCCCAGGTTACCCCCAGGTATACCCCAGAAAACCCCTTTGGGATACCCCAGATATCCCCCTGATTTACCCTTTAAACCCAGATATACCCGGGTATCCCCCTGATACCCCAGGTATCCCCCAGATATACCCTTGGTTTTCCCTTGGTATACCCCAGAAAAACCCCCAATATACCCAGGTATCCCCCCGTAACCCCCGGGTATACCCCCGGGTATCCCCCATAATCCCCAGATATACCCCTGGTTTTTCCCGGGTTTCCCCGATATCCCCCGATTTACCCAGATTACCCCAGGTATCCCAGGTTTTCCCCGGGTATCCCCCCAGATACCCCCGGATTCCCCCTGGTATACCCCGGTATCCCCCCAGTTCCCGAAAACCCCAGTATACCCAGGTATCCCCCGGGTTTTAAAAACCCCAAATTTACCCGAGATATACCCCTGGAAAACCCCAGAATCCCCAGATATACCCCAGATATACCCTGGTATACCCAGGTATACCCCAGATATACCCCAATTACCCCGATTACCCCGGGTATACCCCAGGTATATCCCGGTATCCCCAGAATCCCCGAGTATCCCCCCTGGTATACCCCGAAAACCCCCCGATATACCCAAAATATCCCTGGTATACCCCAGGTATACCCCGGTAACCCCAGATTACCCCGAAACCCCGGGTTAAAACCCCAGGAATCCCAGTATACCCAGTTATCCCCCAGATATCCCCCCAAAAACCCGGGGTTTTACCCCGGGTATACCCCAAATACCCCAGATATACCCCAGAAACCCCCCAGGTATACCCCAGGTATCCCCCAGTTTAACCCGAGTATCCCCTGGAAAACCCCAGATATCCCCCCGATATCCCCAATATACCCGGGTTTAAATCCCCCAGGTATCCCCCAATAACCCCGTTTCCCCCCAGGTTACCCCGGGTATATCCCTAACCCCCAATTACCGGATATCCCCCCTGGTATACCCCAGATAACCCCGATATCCCCCAGTTTAACCCCGGGTTACCCCAGGTAACCCCAGTTACCCCAGATAACCCCAGATATACCCCAGGTATTCCCCAGGAATTTCCCGGTATACCCCAGAAAACCCCCAGAAAACCCCCAGAAAACCCCCCGGGTATACCCCGGGTTCCCCCAGATATACCCGATATACCCAGATACCCCCGGGTATACCCCGGGTTATCCCGGTTACCAAAATATCCCCGGATATACCCTGGTATACCCAGAATACCCAGATATCCCCCATATATACCCCAGATATCCCCCGGTTCCCAGGTATACCCCAATTCCCCCGATATCCCCCTTATCCCCCGGGTTACCCCATATCCCCCTGGTAACCCCGGTATCCCCCAGTTTCCCCCCAGATTTCCCAGATATACCCGGGTATACCCCAGATATACCCCGATTACCCCGGGTATACCCCAGAAACCCCCGGGTAACCCCAATATACCCGGGTTTTTAAAACCCGGGTTTCCCAGGTATACCCCAGGTATCCCCCAGATATACCCCGGGTATACCCCAGAATCCCCCGATTACCCCAATATACCCAGATATACCCAAAATACCCCGGGTTTCCCCCCCGATATCCCTTTTTAACCCCAGGTTCCCAGGTATACCCCAGATATACCCAGATATACCCCAGTTTTCCCCCAATTCCCCCCGTATACCCCATATACCCCGATTACCCCAATATCCCCAAAATCCCCAGGTATCCCCCCGTTAACCCCAGATAACCCCAGATATACCCATATACCCCAGATATACCCCAGATATACCCAGAATACCCGGAAACCCCCAATATCCCCAATATACCCCGAAAACCCGGGTAACCCTGGTAACCCCGGAAAACCCCCAGATATCCCAGAATCCCAATACCCGGTTCCCCCGATTCCCCAGTTACCCCGGTATACCCGGGGTTACCCTGGTAACCCAAAAATTACCCCAGAATACCCGGGTATCCCCCTGGAAACCCAGTTAACCCCAGATTACCCAGATATACCCCTATACCCAGTTAAACCCCTGGTATACCCAGATATACCCCAGATATACCCCAGATATCCCCCGGTTACCCAGGTATCCCCAGTATACCCAAGATTTCCCAGGTATACCCCAGGTATCCCTGGTATCCCAGATAAAACCCCAGATTACCCCAATATACCCCGGTTACCCCGGTATCCCCCAGATATCCCCCAGATATACCCAGATATACCCGGGATACCCCGGGTAACCCAGATTCCCCCCAAATATACCCCAGTATACCCAGTTTTTTTAACCCCTGGTTCCCCCGGGGTATACCCAATATCCCCCCGGAAACCCTGTTATACCCCTGGTATCCCCCAGAATACCCCGGTATAACATTAAATTATTTAAAAAAAAATTTTAAAAAAACATCATAATTAATTTTTTAAAAGATTATTAAAAATCATTTTTTTTTTATTACTTAATTTATCAAGAAAATAAATTTTAAGTTTAAAAATTTAATTATTTTCTTTAATTTTTAATTAAAATTTACAAAAACAACTCCAATATCGTCAATTTTTTAATTTTATTATTTATAACTTGATAAATAATATAACTTTCGTCTTACTACCCCGGGGCCCGGTTCAATATATTTTTGGGGGCCAGGTTTATTTTTTTTGACGTCCCTCGAAAGGCTTTAATAT